AGATATGCGTGTTGATTTCATTTTATGTGATCCTAAATTAATAACTTTGCCAACGAGCTCGTTGTTATCATTATGCCAACGAGCCGGTATAATGATGGCTTATAATCAACGGGTCATGGGTTAGATTCTCACCGGGTCCATCATGATTCTAATCAGTACTAAAATTATAAAGATGAAAAGTCTCGGATTGAAAAATTATTTTTGTATTGGTTGGGCCAATTATCAAAGAAGGTTGTAGACTATTAAACATCAGGCAGTCAATAGGAGCGAAAAACACTGGTAAATGTGGAACCTTTCATCTTTGAGGGTTCCTGATGCGTGCACTGCATAAACAAAAAATATGTATAAAAGTTTTTTGTATTGTTCTTTAAAAAAAGTGTCTGCGACTGTATATATGTCCTTTAAGTGCTTGTCAATCTGGATGTTTAATAGGTGGAAAATCCGGTGAGGTTTACTAACGTTTCAGTTCCGAATATGTGAAACAAGAGAATGTCGACGCATCTTATCGTCGACGTATCATCGTACTTCACCTTCCGTCAAGGAACCCCGTGCTTGTCTGTCACACTCTATCATAAAAGTCTTTCTTATTTAAAGTTTGATCTAACCATCTCAATCGCGTTAGATACTCAGCGAAGGCTAATAATAATCGTCGTGGATTCGACTATATGATTGTCTTCTTAAACCAAGCAATGTCCAACTTCGGCTTAGGTCAAGAACCATCATTCACAGATGGAGAAGCTATGAAGTGTATATTCGCTTTTCTGTTTCAGGATTTTAAAGTACCTAAACAGAATAGGTTTACAGTTGAATCTTAATTTGATGTTGGATAGTATTTAGAAGGAGTTTGTTGTGTATCAACTTTTTGTTGGTTGTAACCTCCTAGCTTAAATGAAATCACTTTTTTTATTACACAATGCGTACTGTATAATAAATTTATGTATGTTTTTTCTTCTTTACGAGTAATAGTTCAATTCAGCCATTCGGTGTCCACTGCTGGACATACGCTTCCCCCATGGGCTTCTAGTACGACCGGTCGTTCGCTAGTTGCATCCAGCGTTTCCCTGCTACCTTGACCAGGTCGTCGGTCCACCTGGTAGGAGGTCGTCCAGGTTTTCGACGTCCGGTACGTGGTCTCCACTCCAGAACCTTTTTGCCCCAAGTGCAACGTCTGCGTCACGTACGTTTGCCGTCAGTTCTACGAGCGATGTGCCCAGCCCACTGCCACGGGTAATAGTTAGTAAAAAGCTATATGTAGTTTTATACTAACTATTATTTCGAAAAAAGAATTCCCATTAATTTGTAGATATGAATATTTCGAACTCCCAAAACGCAACCGTAATGCGCAATGAAAATAACGATGTGTCGGCTGCCGATATCCAGTCCAGTAACAAGGCGTAAAATAAAATGAAAATATGCAAGTGTTCAAAAAACACTATCAGAGTGCTGCAGCTTGTTTCCGTAACTAATTAACGTTCGAAGAGTTGGCCTTTTAGGGCGCCCGACTCAGTTTACTGTTCCAATAACTACGGTGTAGCTACTATATAGGTTGTTTCCCGATATTACGTAACATTTTCATTGACGTCATATAATAATTAGTGTCACAAACTGTGGGAGTCATGGCGTTCTAATAAGCACTCCACGCGACTTTCGGAAGTTCGATCCTCGAACCGAAATGTTTGATATTTACTCCATTACCTTATTAAAGAGATTTTGGTTCTAAAATGTCATATTTTATTAGCTAGGTATGTTGTTTAAACCCTAAAATATTTTGTATTTTATTTGTGTTTGCTCTATTTGATTATTATGTCCTGTAAGTGATATTTTTTCCTCTTAACACTTGGTTGACACATGATTTAAAGGTGAAGGGTAATAAAACTAGCATGCCTTAAAAATGGCCAAAAAGTTTACGTATGTAACAATTGCTAAACAAGCCTTTCATGTTTAAATAAAATATGTATAATCCATAAAAGTTCGGGTCGCATTTAAAGTAAATTGACAACAAGTTAACAAATATAATTCGCGCTTCGAACCGTTAAAAATGTTTTATTTTAAGACCTCTGATATCAAGAAATTTTTAAAAATCGTTGTTTTTGCACACAAAGATTTTTAAAAGCTTTAGAAGCTTAATTAGTTAGTTGGAAAAGAATAATAAAAACATTTGCCTAGTCTTCTAATTTGATTCAAAAGTTTCCTACAAAACGATCTAATGAAAATCAAGCCTTGTGGCCCTACCTCAGTTGCAGCAAACCCCATAATCTGGCTATCATAAAGAAGGATTATCGCGACTATCACTCATTGTAAGATATGAGATTTTCTCATAAGAAAAATACGACGCGGATACACGGTGCAATTTAAAATTTCATATTTTCGGGAGAAGGAATTTTCATAAGTACGTAATACCGGTATAACGTTTCGAGCTACAAAAATTCGTCTGGGTGAAACTTCCTGTACTTTTAATTAATGCTTAACAGTTTAGTGGGTGTAACTTCATTTGACGTTCATTCGGTTAGCTCTGAAGTGGCGTCGGGGGGTGCCCAAGCCTCGTCTGTCCGCGCATTTAATTACACATTAAATACACAACTACCTCTTCGACATTTTTATTAACACGATATTTCACAAAACCCAACCGCAAATCAGAACGTTCAACGTAATATCCGTGTTTATTCTCGTTAAAACCTTTAGCGGTAAAATTAGTTAACTGCCTCAACTTACATGATTCGAAACTTCCTCTAATTAACAACCATTCCGCTAAAGTGGAGATTAGGAAGGTAATGTTTGAAGGCAGTGCTAAGTATAAGCTTAAATGTGCGCGTGAGTAAAGAAAGTAGAGGGAAACTTTTATTCGCTTGGAACACTTGAAACAGTTTCAATAAGCCGTCTTATATTCACTTTAAAGTCTGAATAATATGTTATTAAAGATACTAAATAAAAGGTTTAATTCTTAAATACTGTCTATAGTTTACGCGAGTAGTACACATTTAAATAAAACACTTTAACGGTTTAAAACGCGATGTATTACTTAAACTTATTTGAAAATGATTTTTAACTTCGGCCAGACGTTTCGGATGCTATGCAGCAGCCGTGGTCACGGAGAGTCTGCTAGACAGTATTTAAGTATATAACAGTTATTTATAAGTTCAAAAACTTACTGCAGTATATACAGTACAGGTTGGAAGCATGTTATTTGCAGGAAATGACATATTGCCACTGCGCACACGCAGCGCGTGCAATAATGGAAACACTCGCGCAACTGACTCTTTGGCAGATCATTGTGACTTGACTTGACAGATTGTCAACTTTGATAGTCAAAGGTAACATATATATTTAGGTATAAAGGTAACAGGTATATTTAGGTAATACTAAGTGTTGCTGCCTCTGCGTTTAAGCCACAAATGTAGCGTCGATTAACCCACCGTTCAGATTCGTCCTACCTTCGCAAAACGTATGAAATCGGATCAAGTTTTGTATTTATTAATTACACTATTAAAGTTCGAAGAACCAAGTTTTATTTTACATACAGTCCATCGCTATTGTAAATTGTCTATAAGCAAACTCATATATGATTTAAACAAGCATTCAATTTTTAATATTAATCTTATTTTAAATGTAATTTTAAGTAAACTAATCTCACCAGAGCGAATTTCTTAAACCCAAAGTAAACATGATCGCAAAAGACGAAAATATATTTAACGGGGGAGCCAGAGATTTCTTTAGACTTTCAAAAGATTCTCATTCAAAGTTTGAAGTCAAGGAATGCTGCAAGTAGAAATAAGAGTGGAGTACCCCTGTTATTCGGTGTTAGGGTTTCAATATTAGCCTGCTTATTATTCAAGTACCTAGTTTAATTAAAATACTTAAGAGTTTTCTGCGTACACTCTAACTTCTCGGCTCATTGTAATAAAGTGCATTCAATGAGCTCAAAAATGTTTACGGTGCGCGGTTTTCAAGCTATAAAATTAAATACTTAAGACATTTGAAGCGGCTTCATGCGAATAAATAATGGTGCAAGTTTTGTGAGATTTATTTACATTGAAAAATGAGTACTTTGTTTATTTATCGGTCAATTATTATCATTTTATGTATTAAAATAAAACACCTTAATGGTTTATTATAAGTTGAACTTATTTGTAAATTTTATCTGCGGACCGATGTTTCGGATGCTTTGCAGCAGCCGTGGTCAGGAAGAGATTCATATACTTTATGTAGTTGGGTGTTACATACCTCATTGGGAGAGCTATTATTGGAAAACAGGCTTTTGATTGGAATCTTGGGGCATTTTGGTCGAGCTGGACGATGACTAAATTTCTACTCGATCGTACAAAGTTATAAATCGATGAATAAAACAGACACGTACGAATATATAAAAACATGTGTCTATAAGTAACTAACAATATGTAGGTATTTCTAAACTTATATATGTATAATCTACACTAATAAGTTAAGTTTGTTTGAATGCGCTAATATCAAGAACTACTGGTTTAAATTAAAATTTTATTTTTGAGTTGTTTAGAGCATTTACCGAGGAAGGCTTTTAACATCTGCGATCGTGCGATCATCGGCATGCGATTTAGGAACGAAGAAACAACAGGAAGTGAGGAGAAAAGGGGGAAAATTGTTCATATATAAGAGCTTCCTTTGTGAAAACGATTGAAGAAAACAAAAAAAAAACCTCCCGTATGTGTGAAAGAATGATTCGTCTTTAAATGATTTAAAAACTTTCCACAACAGTGTATGTCTATCTTTTAAGATTAACTCGCAAGAACGACGGGAGGCGAATGACGTCGTGGGTAATAGATTTAATTTTAATGCCGTTTGCAAAAAAAATAATATTATCACAAAAAAACTATTTCTAGTTCTAGTTATTATACTACTATATATTATACTATGTTAGAGTATATGAGTGACTTAATATGACCTTTTAGATAAATCCCATCGAGTGTAGCGCGGCATGATCTAAGCCGAAGTTAGTTCAGAAAATCAATTGACGTTATCATCTTATCATGGTTTTAGCGCAAGGTAGTTCCGATATAGTTTATAGACCAGTGACCCGAGCTAGATCCAGGCTTATACGGCTAACTTCTCTAAAGCTTGTACTAAGTAAGTTTTCAATTTATCGCGTGCAACGCGGTTGCGGATAATGTCTTGAAGAATTTTCACTTACCTGCAAGGTAGCGGTTATTGAAATAATAGCCTAACTTTAGATTATTAGAATATGGGATCTCATCTCGATATTTTCGGTTTTTTGTTGATGTTTGACGGTAATTCGTATGATGTGTTGCTGCATTTAATAAAATATATCTTTCAATTGAATAAAACACTTTAAACAGTTGAAAACACGAAATATATTAGTTTACTTATTTTAACTAAGCCCCAATGTTTCGGATGTTTAGCAGCAGATGTGGTCAAGGGACAGTTAACTATTAATTATATATTTCGCGTGTTAACCAGTTAAAAGTGTTTTATTTAAAATTTCTCAAGTAAAGTACGGACATTGTATCCTTAATCTAAATTTCTTTTGATATTGTGCACCCTCCAAAACGGGCTACGACGCCAGTTTCGCTTGCTTAATATTATTACTTATCAAAAACACGATGCATTTAATTTCTCTATACGATTTTAATATACATAGAATTAATCATTCCAATCAGTAATGGCCCACGCTGGGCACAAGTCTTTTATCTAATGGGAAAATTACTACCTAATCCTTTGCGTTACTAAATAAATGAAAAAAAAAACCATCACCTGAACGCATTATAAATTTCATTTATAAAATCAAAATGCTGCAGTAATTATTGACCTTGATTCCGTTCGGGAATCGAACCACCAGACTCATGGTCTGCAGACTAATGTACTAGCCACTAGAACTAAGACAGTTAAAGTTTTACTTCATATTATTAGTGAAAAAAAGTCATTAAACGACTTTGTCCGCGTAGAACAGTTATTTTGGCCATCCAAATTGGTTTTTGCAAACATCACTTCTCTAAAATGTATGCTGTTACCCGCGCGTCGGTCGCGTCTCGTCGCCTTACAAGTTATCATTTAAAGACGATTTACACATATCCTCATTAGGAATCTTGAATCGTTTTCGCAGCGTACACATCGGAAACCCAGAAAGATCAATACTTTTCCCCGTTTTTTCCATATTTCCCCACTTTTTTTACACATTTATTGCTTAAAGTCTTCCTCGATAAATGATGTAACTAACACGAATTCCTGAGAATATCGCGTTCAAACAAATAAACAAACTCTAGCTTTATATTAGTATAGATGTGCTAAATTATGATAAAATATACTTCGAATCGATATTCATAACAAAAGCCGTTCCCATAAGCACTTGAAACAACATCTTACGAGTTTGAGGTCGCACATTATAAGAATCACAAATCGCTATCAAGGACGGATATATTGGAGCATGCCGAAAGCAATTGGAGAAGGCATCTGGTTAACGTTGAACACAAGTGGGGTACTGCGACGAGTAAACGGCGCGCACATGAGGCCTCAATTAAGTGTAGATTAGGCGTTTATTCACATGTATTGAGTTTGCTCTAAGAATTCTTAAAGGGTACTTGTGAATCTCGTAGGATTTTTTAATGATAGAGGAGATCAGACAAACATGGTATTTACTTGATGGGTGCTGAAATATCCCAGCATTACAACAACGACCCAAGATGTGTTGTATTTTGGTTTTAAATTGTTAGTGAATAAGTTTGTTTTGTAAAATTGTAACTAGATGTCGCTAGTTGACATCTAAAACACGCTATTACTTATTAATATTGTTACCCCCTGTTTTATATTGTTTTTATCATATTAAATTTATCGTACTGTATGTCACTGTACTTTTTTTTAAAAGACGACTGTATTTCAGTGATTATCCAATACGCGAAGTTGAATACGCGTCTATAAGTGAGATAAATGGATTGTTGTATCTCAAGTTGGGTGTATTCATCATACTTGGGAGTTAATTTAGGGCAGCATCCTAATTTGCAGACGTACGAGCTACTCCGACTCCAAAGCATTGTTAAGTTACAACGGAGTTGCTTATTATTGTACACAGTAATGAGAGAGATACTTGAGTCAAGTTTTAATATTTAGAAGCATTTTCGGTAGTGCGTGTATACACCAGTGACAGAGATGGAGATACAAAATACCTGTTCCCAGTATACTATAGAATAAACTAGTTTTTTATAAGCATATAATAACAATATATTTAATTATTTAAATATGAAATATTTAAAATTAATTTAATTAAAAAAATATGACACGGGCGGAACCTACCTTCCTAATCATCAAATTTCTTTTACCTAGTAATTAAATGCTCTCTATTTCACTGAAGTGCACACGCGGTGTACAACATTTTAGCATAGAATGATGTAAGGCTTTTGAAAACTTTAATATTTTTCACATGGCACTATATAATTTTACAAATCGAAAATAAACTGAAAAAAATTTGGACTCGGGCAGGACTCGAACCGACATCGTAGGTATTCCGAGAGCGCGACAGCACGGAACGCTGATGATGCCGGTTCAAATCCTGCCCGAGTCCAAATTTTTTAAATTATTAAATGATGTAAGGCTTATCATGTACATTATAGTTGTGTGTTATTGTAATAAAAGTATTAAAAAATATATTTCGATCGAATTTAAAGAAGTTACATTTTTCTCATACAAAACAAACAGCGCTAAAAACGGGATAGCCTTACAATTTATGTTTGAATAACACGCACTTCGCAGTTATCAATAATTATTGTCCTTCATTGTAGTGTCTCTAGCGTTTTATAAATCTGAAAAAGATACATAACATTATTTAAATAAAACACTTTAATGATTTAGAATTTGAATAATTTTCAAATAAGTTTAGCTAATATATCGCGTTTTAAACAAACAAGTTATAATGAGTAGAAACCCACGCCTGTCTGTTGTGTCATAGAAAAACTCCTCGAATGATATTCTTTCTAAAAAGGAATTTCGAAGTTTTAATTGGAAATAATATCTGCCGCCTTTTAGTTTACCTCAAGTTCCCACAAATGTAAGCTTTTAGAACGTCCACCGTGAAGCGTCATGTTTCACCAATTTTGCAAGTTTTTAACGTAACCCGATCCAGAACAAATTGACTCATAGACGCCCGGTCACGAAAGCATTATAAACCGTTGCGATTTACTAGAATATTTCGCGAAATGGAAATAGGAAATAGGCGACAGCGACGCTTGGGACATCGGGGTATTGAAACAATGCATAATGTTTGTCTGGAGTCGTAACATCAATACACCTGATACCCATAGCGGTTCCGATTACATATTCAACGAGGCACTCGAAGCATACCAGGATTTTTATTTAAAAGTACAAAAATGTTGCAGCCGTTCCAGCTTTTGTTAGTTTAATTCTGTGAATGCCCACAGTTTTTATATAAGACGGCGTTGGGCTAACTGATGTTAATTAAAATGAAAACCATGGAATTATTTTTTTATATATAGCATACGTATTATTTAACATGCGGTAAATGTTTATATTGATATATATGTTAGAAAACCAATAAGAGTTGTAGGTCGAAAAATGACACGGACGGGACTTAACCGACATCGCCACTGCTACCCTGCTATACCGATTCAAGGCCGCCAGTGTCATAGGTTTTTACGTATCTAAATAGATTTTTTATTTATGCTATCATCCGCAATAACATATCATTATAATAATGTTTCAAATAAGGCATTCCTTTCACACAACAAATAAATAATTCAATTTCGTTAATAGTAAATATTAAATTGTTTTCTTAAGCAGAATTTAAATCTGATTTTGATCCATGTACATTATATCAACCTATTAATAATTATTCTTTATTTTTGTTTCGTATCGTATGGTTATTTCCGAGGATAATACATATATATATGTATACTATATCAATTACTATATAATTTTCTACAACATTATATTAAGGTCGAATTTCTACAAATAAATAATAATAATTATACGAAAATTGTTCAATTTGTATGTTTAAATTTGAATTAGATTATCATCTAGAGTATCTATTTTTATGTAGTAAATAACGATAGTCAATATTTACAAGTACCCACATACACCTATCACCTAAGCTACATTGGTTTATTCCTAGCAAAATCGTAGTATAAGTGGTCATTAAGGCTTACCCAGTATAGACTCAGGGTTGCGAGGTTTAGAAGGTCTCTACAGGACTCTCATTGGAGAAAGCGTGTGCTATCACCCTCTCAACACACACATGATAGTCAAGTGTATCCTTCTCACAAGGAAGAGTAGCTGAACTAAAAGACTAACCTTTTTTTAAGCCATTGTTTTTTACGCTAGAAATCAAACGTTTACTTTACAATTTAAGGTTAGAAGAAGTAGCTGAAGTTAATTAGTTTTCAAATTTAATATACTATAATCTAATAAACTAAGAGTAAGTAAGATTTTATTTTCAATAAAACGCATTTAACGGTTTAAAACGCGAAATGTATTAGTTAAACTTATTTACAAACTAAGCAAAACATCCGGAATGTCGGGCCTTATAATAATTTGTACGTATAACGATTACATCACGTTTTAACTCGAATAAACCATTGACAGTATATTGTTTTCTTTGTTCTGTTTTAAGTACATATCAATATTTACTAGCTTTCCTCTGCAGGCTTTATTTTTTTCGTATTTTCGGCAGTATGTTATTTTTGGGATGAGTGTTATGTAAGGATTTACGGGTGGTTATGAAACAAAGTCTTATTCCTTGCGCTACATTTAATATTGGATTGAATATCTATTGGAGAAAACTGCGAAAAGTTCCTTGGAGGTCTATACATTATATCTTAGCACAAACGAAAAAGATTAATTTGGTTTGTTTTTCTCTATTCCGCTAGTCATAATATATTAGGTCTATACATATGTAATTGGTGTTTTGTCGTACTGGCCACATAGATCCGAAAAAAGTTCTCTTTGGTTAAGAACCTCTACATCAACACTACAAAGTACACTTTTAAGAGAACCATAGACAATAACATAAATATTATAATATCATTATAAATAAAACACTTTAACGGTTTACTTTTACGGTCACGGGGAATCTCCCCCCCCACGGCTCTCTCCCACGGCTGCTGCAAAGCATCCGAAACGTCGGGCCGAAGTTAAAAATCATTTTCAAATAAGGTTAACATATTTATTGCGTACTACTCACGTAAACTCTAGACAGTATTATAATATAATTCACGCTTAGTTTATGATACGTTCAATTTTCAAATAACGTATTTTCCTTTTTGTAGTATACTCTTGTTGGTGCTGTGCGAACCATAAAGAAGTTTTAAAAAATCCTATCTATTTCATGCAACGTGACACATTTAGGTAGTATATGGAATTAACTACCGTATTAGAAGCTTTTTAAAAGATATATATTTGTCTATATAAATACAATTATTCGTGAAATTCTCTAGACAGATCGAAATTACTTTTAAAATAGTCGTTTACCATGTCATGGACGAATCACATTCGTCATCTTTAGTACAAATATTCGAGTCATTATCTTTATACGTATAGTAACTTCGTGAAAAAGCTTACGACTCGGCGACACGCAAAAAAGAGGTGATTTTAATATTACTCAATTTGTCCAAGAAAAATTGGAGTTTTGCGTTTATAAATGCGAAAATTTAAATATTTCATCGCGGCACGGTCTAGAGATTACATTGTATTACTCCCTGATTATAACGTTGTGGTGAATTTTTAAAAATTTATAACTCCGACTGCGGAGTTTCAAGCTGTGGCGTATTGCGTGGTTACGCTAATGAACAATTTAGTTTGGCGTGTCAAGTCACACTTCGGCTGTATGTATAGAACAGTTATTTTGGGCATCAAAATTTGTTTTTGCAAACCTCCTCTTTATAAACTTAAGCTGTTACCACGTCGATTGCGACCTGTCGTTCTTGCTTTAAATCATTTAAATTTTTGCGAAAATGGTTAAAAATACAAACAAAATATGTATGAACATATTTTGTGGGTATTTTGAACCGTTTTTGCAGTGTACGGATCGGAAACCCACGAAGATAAATAATTTTCCCCGTTTTTTCCAAATTTTCCGCTCTTTCTTAGCTCCTATTTGTCACATTGTGGTGTTTTATAGCCTAAAGCTTTTTAAATAAAACACTTTAACGGTTTAAAACGCGATATATTAGTTTAACTTATTTGAAAATGATTTTTAACCTCGGCCCGACATTTAGCCTAGAGCCTTCCTCGATAAATTCACTAACTAACACAAAAAGATTTATATAGATATATAGAATATTTAATTTATTTATATATAATATTTAATTCGAAACAGAAATTCCTGAGATTAGCGCGTTAAAAAAATAAACAAACTTTTCAGCTTTATGTATTATTATAGGGTGAAGATATATCTAGTGTAATTTGAATATATTTTCATATCTAAATATTTAAGGATCAGACGAATGACTGAAGTATGAGGGGATGGTATCAGTTGAACAAAGATTGCTCCGTAAGAATCTGATCAATACTCAAACTTGTAATATTCAAATCACAGAGACAAATAAAAGTATTTATATAGTGCAGTGTAGTACAGGAATCGTAGCTAGTTTGCAAAGTATTTTTCTAGAGAAAATGCAGTTCATGGGATTGAATAAAAATTGAATCTAGAATTGTAATCCGAGACAGGGCGAGCGCAAGCACAGATAACACAAACAGAATTTATCTTGATTACGTTTGGTAATATTTCGGTTGATTTATGAGTACTATGAATTATTTCAAATGAATGCGTCTTGTTACTATTGAAATAATATATTATTAATATTTGTTTGTAGACAGTAGTAGCTGAAGTTACGTGTAGAATAAGAGTTTCTTTATTGCAAAAAAAATAGTTTACGATAATAATTTGATATTATATTGATATTATGTGCTATAATATTTTCGCGGTGAAGACTTTATTCACCAATTTACTTACATTTGCGTTCCCCGCGGCTTGTAAAGTAAAATTACCCGCCAAGATAGGGTTGCCAAATGCAAAAATTACTTTAATTCCAGTCGTATGCTTTTTGCATTTTATCACTTAAAAGAGAAATTATGAGTTTATAAATATTGACAATGGTAAAGAGAAGGAAGAAGAAAAGATTACGAATGCTACCCTTGCTTAAAATTGCCATAATACCTTTAAAACATGTGGAAGCGAAGTATATAATGATATCGCGGCTTCGTTCTTTGAAAGCTTATTAATTTGAATCATAGTCATAGATTTTGACGAAGAACAACATAGCTATATAAAAAATGAAAAGATACATATTTAATTTTAGTTTTAACGTTACTATATAATTGATTTATTATAGAAAAACACACACACACACTTTGTATATTTTTTTTTATTTTTGAGTCTAAAAGCGGGAACTATTAATTAGCTTTCTGATATCTAATTTGCCGACTACACTCTTGTAGCTGTATGTTTTCCGTATGTGAAAAATAAATACATTTCACTAAATAATTAAAGGAAAGTCTTTCTCCCTTGTCCCTATTTGGTAAAAGCTTTTGTAGATCGAGAGCACAGAATTTATGATACCTATGACAACGGTGACCGATCCCTTTTGATGAAAGCAATAGCTTGATGATATTATTACTATGCAGGATGCAACCCTACGCTCGGCGGCAGAATAGTGCCTCTTTTACGGCCCACGAATGCCGTCACATGGGAAATTATTTGACGTGCCGTTTAATGGATTTTTGCCTTCATAACTACCTACAGGCAAATAAAAATATGAATGTACAACTGAAATGTACGATAGACATCTGAAATATATATATTTGCTACGTGCCGCAGTTGAAAAAAAATAATTTTAGTTTCTGCTAACTGGAATTATTATTTCTGGAATGTAGAGCGCATTTAAATATTACATGAAATTTATAAAACGCTTTTATATTTACTAGTAACAAATCTTGTAATCGATTTTAATACCTATTGATATAAATTTCATCCTATTTGATTTAATCCTACAGAAAATTTAATACTGAAATACAATTAATAATTTTAAACTTAAACACTTTGAAGTAAAATTTGTTATAGAAAAAAAAAAGCTACAAATCTTAATAGCAAATTTTTACCTTTGTTACAGAGTATACAGTCAGGAGTCTGGAACTTCTAGAACTACGGGTGCCAACACATGTGCCAATCGGAACTCGACCCACGCTTACATGTAAATGGCAACTGGGTCCTACTGATGTTTTGTACTCTGTGAAGTGGTACAAGGACGGCAAAGAGTTCTTCCGTCACGTTCCACGCGACAGTGAAACTAGGAGAAAATTCTATCTACCAGGGGTAGACGTGGAGGTTGGTTTAGTAAGACTTTAACTACTTAGTACTTAGTTCTATCTCTTTACAATTTTGGTACAGAAAAATACATGTATTCTCCAGTTTAAATTTACTTCTAATAAAATTCATTGTATAATGAATTATGACTTGTTGAAGGAGAAGGAAAGTTTTAGTTTTCACCATAAATTTCCTTCAAATTTTTTAGTTCATAATTCTTAGAATTCCAACCTCCCTAATAATGATATTGAAAGTCTTCTTTTATCCTAAAAAGCATTTTCAATAAATGAAGTTAGTCTGAAATATGATTAGAATTTTGAATTAATTGCGTAGTAAAATTTTCCACAGACGAAAATTCAATTCTACTAATTCGCATATGAAGTGATATATATACGAATTTTTATATATAATCAAATTTATTAAGTGTTTTGGTTCGTCTGCGGGTCGTGGGTTCGAACCCCCCCATGTCTCTCACCAATTTATGATTTTTTCTATATCATGTTCAACTTTGTCTACAAATCTGGTTATTAAATAGGTGATACAAATATCTAAATTTCGTCCCAGTCACGACCTAACGTCCACAGATGAAGAACCCGCGATGGTTAATTATTTTTCGGATTCAGTCTGTGGATATCCAAAGCCAAAGTTGGCGAACTTGTCAGCGCATCTTATGGAGATGTTATATGGCTGGGATATTCAACCTCCATCAAATGAACCTTAATACTTGTCTGTCGTCCTCGATCATTAAAAAAAAATTTTGGTCAGTTTAGCTACAGACTATAAAGTGAAGAAATCTGTGATACATAAACATGTCTGCCTACAAAAGGAAAATGTGGTATAATCTATATATTGCCTACGACAAACACATTTCCAGTTTCAAATCTTGTAATGACTTATTTGTTTCACGCCGAAGCTTCACCCGGCTTGCTCATATAATGAACTAAAATGCGTCCCTTTTCGGTAGAAGCAACTTCAAAAGCGACTTGTGTACTGTGCATTTAACGTCTGGATAACCACTTCCGTGGCTCTCTGTGGTTACCCATGAATAGCCCAGTAAACAGTAGTGCTGTTCACGATAGTAGCAAAGTCCGGATATTACCAGGTTAAGAGGGAAAGAGGAGGGCGCGTAAACACTAACGTATAAAAACCTATTCCACTTCTCCCGCAATTAGTTCGTACGGCGATGTTCAAACTTCACTATTTGAAAAGTCCCGCAAGTTAGGTGAAAACGCTATTAAAATTCTCACTTCACAGACTTTGCATTTAGCACAATGCTAGAAACTTCTGCGCTACTCCACGACTTGGTACTTCGAGTTGTGTAAATGAAGCACTGTAGGATATTCTGAAACAAACAGAACACATTTTGAAATCTTTAAACCATCTTGAAAACCTAATATTACGTGATAATTTTCTTTTCCTTACCAGGCTAGTGAAATTAATTCAAATAATGTACAGTAAAGACAAAAACTTTTAAAATCTGATTAAAGGTATTTTGATAATTAATTGTATATTATGGACGCAAAAAGCGGAAATATTGTTAATTAGATGGAACAAGATCTTGGAAAAATACTTGAGTAGGCGTTTTGAAAAGTGTAAGTTGTTGTACATATTTGACGATTAAAAGTATGATTTTTAACCCAACTAGAATAAATATTATATTAGGTGTAGATTTAGCGAGTAGTAGTTAACAAAAAAAAACTTTTGACGGATTAAAACGGCAAATATTAGTTAATTTATCTTTAATTGATTTAAACTACAGCGGCTACTGCTTTGCTTTACAAAATAATAATGTTGCACAAAGCAACCAGTATTTAAAATTAATTAAAATAGTTACTTATATTTCGTGTTTTAAACTGTTTAAAATGTTTTTGAAATGAAATTTAATTTATTTAAAAATATTTAGTAAACTTAAAATAAGATTTACATTTATACAAATAAATAGGCTATTAAAATGAGATTCTCTTAATTAAAACTAAATTATTTGAAAGATAATTTTCCCTCATATTGACAAATCACCAAGAACATTTCAATAAGTTAGGACAACTACACAATCTTTAAAACTCCACCTTACTTCACAGGAGTCAAGTACGAACGGTGCGAATGTAACGCTAGCTCCTGCTGTGCTGGAGACAGGTGGAAGATACCGGTGTGAAGTCTCCGGGGAACGACCCTTGTTCCCCACTGTGTCTGACCACTCGGATATGATCATTGTCGGTAAGTAACCTCGGTACCACAATTCTAAAATAAATTGTACGTACTTGACGAAATAACAACTAAGTGTTCCAAGCTTTAACTAAGAAGTTAAGTACAAGTTTAATGAAGAACTTTCTCTACCTTTTTACGGGCGGGAGACTCGCAACTGTCAAAGTGGAAATTTTATTCGTTGTTGCATGTTCTAAGGATTGACAAATTCAATAACCCCAGACAATCCTATCGAACCCCACTCGTATTGTTTAATCTTAAATTATCGATTACGATAATTTAAGATTTAAGATGGGGGGGGGGGGGGGTGGGAACGGGAACCCCCCGGGAGGGGCCGGGCGGGTTTCAAAAAAATTGGAAGGGGGTTTGGGGGGGGGGGGGGAGAGGAAGGAAAAGAAAAAAAAACTACTTTTTACCCCTAGTGATAGGGGTCCCCTATTTTATAGAAACATTTATAATTATATGTTTCATGATAAAACCTTCTAACAGTTAGATAATCAGTCCTTTTTTCCCCCCAAAAAAAAAAAAAAAATTTTAAAAAAAAAAAAAAAAAAAAAAAAAAAAAAAAAAAAAAAAAAGGGGGGGGGGCCCGGGGGAAAAAAAAAAAAAAAAAAAAAAAAAAAAAAAAACCCCCCGGGGAAAAAAAAATATTTTTTTACGGCGATTTTATTTAACCAGTAGGTAAGTTAAGTAATACATTTCGCGATTTAACCGTTAATAGGGTTTAAATAAAACACTTTAACGGTTTAAAACGCGATATATTAGTTAAACTTATTTAAAAATGATTTTTAACTTCGGCCCGACGTTTCGGATGCTTTGCAGCAGCCGTAGTCACGGGGAGACAGTCGTTAATAGGGTTTTAGTTAATTTTTTTATATTTCTTTAAACATCAACCTAACTCGGTTTATTGTTGCCCACGTGTGGGCGCGAAAAGATCTAGTTGGATGAGAGAATAAAAAATATTAGATACACCGTTTTCACAAAACTGATGATAAACGGTCACATTTGTGTGCCTGCCCTATGCCATATACGCGAGTTTCTCTTATGTATAGATTTGATTATGCTACGATATTCTACGTAAATATATATAGGAATACTGTGCTATTGACTTCCGCAGTTGGACGTAATATACAACGATATTCTCAGAACACTCACTGTCGTTTCCAGTAATTAGAACAGTATTGGACAGATCCAAACTAGTTGACCTATATGTATCTATCAATCGTGATAGATGCGAAGGATACAGGAATACGGAAATTATGAAGCGGAGATGTTCGTTATAAGCATTTGAAACAAGACTTTTACTAATAGAATACACATTAACAGAATTGGCGAGCTCGTTGGTGTGGTGATAAATGTACGGCTAATAATCAACGGGGCGTGGATTCGATCCCCACCGGGTCTAACAAGGTTCTAATCATTTTATAATGTGTTTGAAACATGACTTTTACATCCACATATGAAACAGCCGTCAAGTTTAATCGCGTTTCGGTTGCCGTCTGTAGACTCCCGATTATACAAGGCTTAAATAGGCTGACAGCGCATCTTTTTTAGATGTTTTATGGCTGGAGTATTTCATCTTCCATCAATTGATCCTCCTTTACCATAAAAAAACACAGTTGTCTAAAAATTACAATCTACAATTTTCTTACAGTTTTTAACTTGCGAGTCCATAAAAAATTAGGGAATATAAAATTTTTTGGTAAAATTATACCTCAGTTTATATACTAAATGTTATGTGTGAGGATTAAACATATTGCCTTAAACGTTTGAAAACTTTATTATTTTTTGCATGTTATTGCATATGAAGGCACTATACAATTTAAAAATCGAAATTGCTCTACCAATTGAGCTACCGAGACAACAGCACGGAACGCTGACGATGCCGGTTTAAGTCCTGCACGAGTAGAAAATGTTTTCAATTTATTTTCGCTTTTTAAATTACATTGCCTTAAATGCAAGATATCTTGGGTTCTGATACCGGACAAAACAATATTAGTTTTGGCCACATAATGTGCAGAGATAAGATTAACTTAATGTCTGATGAGTGATTTAGAAAGAGAGATGTGTGATTAAAACTAGTTTATCGTATAAGCAAAGCATGTTCTATCTTCTTTGTACTATATTAGTATTTGTGCTTTTTCTTTAATTTAAGCAGTTTAAAAGTAAAAATCGTTTCCTTACTAATATTATGAAAAGTACTCTGTCGTCTGTTACTTTTTCACGCCACTTCTAGGTGAATATTGGAGGCCCTAGAAATGAGAACTTTGGGAATAGGAGTGGGAATGGGTTGAGTGGGAATGAGAGTGAGAGTTAGAGTTGTATGTGAGGTGAGAGTGTTGCGGCAAAGTAGCACTTACAACATAGATTGGCTGCGATAAATGCGCTATTACATAAATTAATAAACAGCCTAAATAATTAAAAATTCTACCCCAAGTCACTATTTCACGCGAACGAAGTCGCGAGCACAGCTAGTAATAAATAAGATCATAATTTCTTTCAGCGTTGCCGGAATTCGGTCCAGTCATAACTGGTTCCCGACTTCGGTATCATGTCGGAGATCGAGTGCAAGTAAACTGTACCTCGGGCAGGTCTAGACCAGCAACGAGGCTCGCCTGGTACATCAACGGAGAGCCAGCACCAGCAGCCGCGGTCCTTCCACCGGAACAGCACCGCCACGAAGATGGATTGGAGACTACGAGTTTAGCACTCGACTTCAAAGTTAAACCAAAGCACTTTCGGAGAGGAGATCTTAAGCTAAAAGTAAGTATGAAAATTTACGGCTTAATATAAGTAATTACTCAAACAATTTTGAATAATGTACGCGAGTAGTAAACATTTAAATAAAACGCTTACATAATAATAATATTTTCCATTTTTTTTTCATTTCCCACTGTTTTTTGGCTCCTATTCGTCACAGCACGATGCTTTACAGCCTTCCTCGTTAAATGGTCTAACCAACATAAACATATATTTTTAAATAGAACCAATAGTTCCTGAGATTAGCGCGTTTAATTAACCAAACAAACAAATTCTTCAGATTTATATATTAGTATAGATTATATGACCAAAATCCACTTCTTGTATAATTTTATTCGAACTCCACGTTTGCTCCAAATATTTCGAATTTCATCGAAGCGTAATTGCCATTAAAATAAAAACATTCTGTACATCCGTTTTCCGATAATGAGATTTTGTTATCTCATGTTTTTTAAAATGTCCAATGATTTTAACTGATTCGATCTTATGTTCTCTCTCGTGTATCAAACGGAATCGGGTGTTTTAATTGAATTCTCTTCACTTCTTTGTGCATAACACAACAAAACTTTTTTCATAATTCAAGAGGAATTCCTCGAGATACATAATGGATTTTCTTAATCTATTGTTATTGAAGTAACAAGCACCTGGCAAGCTTTCAAAGAATAAAGCTTTATTGTGTTAAAAAGATTTAGAAAAATGAAAGCCTACGCTTGTAGCGGTGTCGGATAAGATATTGCCCAATTATTTATTAGGTCTACATGATTATCAAGAAATCTAATATGAAATATATATAAATAACAAATATTTTCAATCACCTAAGAAACACGAATCTTATTTTCATTATTTTAAGATTGTACTAGCTTTGTCAGCTACTTCGTCCGCGTAGATTTTAGGCATCACAATTTATTTTTCCAAACCTCCTCTTCAATTCTAAATTTAAGCTGTTACATCGTCTGCGTCCCGTTGTTCTTGCAAGTTGATCTTAAAAGATAGACAGATACTATCGTGGACATTTTTTTACATTATTTAAAGATAAAGCTTTCTTTCATACATAGTTTTTGGGTATCTTGAATTGTTTTCGCAGCGTACGCCACGGAAACCCACAAAGTTGAATAATTTTCCCCGTATTTTTTTTTACATTTCCCGCTGTTTCTTCGTTTCTTTTATCACAACGCCATGTTAAATAGCCTTCCTTCATAAATGCTCTAACCAACACAAAACTAAAATCAATTCGAACCAGTAGTTCCTGAGATTAGCGCGTTTAAACAAACAAACGCTTTAGTAGTGTAGAAAATAATGTAATATATGATAATTTTATAAGCTTCATGACTAATCACACCTTTTTGAATACCTATAATAGGTATTCAACAATAAAAAAGTGCTGTTAGAAATGTTTTAAACTCAATTAGGAAATTACTGATATAGGGGAATTCCTTGCTTAAAAGTATGTGAATCTAATCTTACTGGCCTTATTTTTGTTCCAGTGTCTAGCCACAATAGCCACTGTCTACTGGAGGAGCAACGAAGAGAGCGTCCAAGGAGAGAGGATGAAGGGGTACGCCAGATCGCGTGAACTATCAGAAAACTCCCGCGCAGACCGCGTTCAGGCTGCTGGCAACACCACAATCCTAACAGTCACGACCGCTACCAAATTGTTACTATTCTTTTTCATAGTCATGCATCTACCAATAAAATAGGATTAGTTTCAAATTCAGTTTTATTAGTCTCATTGTTGGATTTCAATTTTAAAATTCATAATTGAACATAGTACACCAGCGAACTTTCGTCTTTAAAAAAAATGTATATATTATATATTACGCCCATTTGACATTCAACTTTGTCAAAAAGTGACACAGGCGGGACTCAAACTGACGCTCGTGTTGTGTGCATGAAAGGTGCATCAACAAATGGATTGAGCAAATTTGATTATGAACATGGTAGCTCAATAGGTTGTAATAAGACTGTAGTCGTGGGTTCGAGTTTCGTTCAGGTCACAATTTTCATCTTTATAAATTTTAAATTTATGAAACTATAATGTTCTAGTGTGTTTTAAATATTTACACTATTATTCAGAGAAATTTCTTTTCATTCGTGTATAACCGTAAAATTATTATGTTTTTAAGTTATCATACTTAAGTTTAAATTATTGTATTATGTTTAACTTTACATTTTCAAAGGACGTGTACATATTTATCTGATTTATCATACGTAATTAAAGTTATATGAAATTGGAGCTTCATTTAAAAAACTTGTTGTAGGTTTAACCGCAAAAGTTTAAAAGCGCATATCAGTAAATTACAGGTTAAGTAATTTTATTTCACTAATGTTAGCGAAGTTGATAAACCTTTCCGATTTTCAAATTATAATGAGCAAGTATATTATAATGCTGAAAAGTGTTTTTTCCAATGAATATTAAACATTATTCTCCCATATTTTTAAATAATATTTTTTTTAAATAAAACACTTTAACGGTTTAAAATGCGATATATTAGTTAAACTATTTGAAAAAAGATTATTAACTTCGGCCCGACGTTTCGGATGCTTTGCAGCAGCCGTGGTCACGGGAGAAGTTAAAAATAATTTTCAAATAAGTTTAACTAATATATCGCGTTTTAAAACCGTTAAAGTGTTTTATTTAAATGTGTACTACTCGCGTAAACTATAGACAGTATTTAATATTTTTTTTGTTATCGTAAAAGCGATTTCAGTAAATTATTTTCGTAAATAGTTAAATTTCATTAATAAATTGACGCCAAAGAAACAATAAATACGCCCTAATAATCTTGGTTTTTATAACTTACATCTATCACTGATACCTACTCAGTTTATATACAACATTTTCAAACGTTTTCAACGCAAAATATAGTATACATAATATATCAGTCGACATAATAAAATACATTTCGCGTTTTAAACTGTTAAAAGAGTTAATTTAGTTTTTAATTACAACAGTAATTCTTTCAGCTTTTCTAAGTTAAACTTAACGATTGTTTATATATTTACGAACAGTTTAAAATTCTAAAAGTAAGTTTAATCAATCTTTAATTAAATATTTACGGTAACTAGTCACTTAAACAAAGTTTACAGTTTATTTATAATAAGATTACTATATAACTATAACATGTAAAAGTTTTCTCTAATGTACACAGAGGCAAATAGATTGTATAGAGACTGGTAGAAGATTGTAATTGTCAAAGATTATTATTTATAATTGGATTTAATTATATTTGTCATTGACACTTATATTAATTACTCTAACGCGATGCTAAATTAAGTATTGTATTATGATGTAAATATATCGTTTTTAGAATGTACAGTCTCCTAAATTTTTGGCCGGCCTGAAGTTAGCGCGACCGCCATCTTGCGCATGGTACTGTCAATTCTAAGCAAAAAGTCACGTCGCCCCGCCCCGGCACCTCTTTTGTCGCAACGGATACAACGTTTTTGCGTTCTGCGCAATCCGCGCTAATTTCAACCCGGCCAATAAGTTTGGAGAGTACACTGTACCTTAAACTTTAATAATATTAAGTGTTGCATATTTTTTAATTCTCAAACCATACTGTCACTAAAAAGTCGTGTTTACATTTGCAACACAATAAGAAATATTTATCTTCGATTCAGAGAAACTGTAGCGATTTTTATTATGGAATAATTGTATTCATACTAAGTTTATTGTGTAAATAATGTAATGGAGCCTTCTTAGATATCAAATGTAAATTGTAATACTGAAAAGGAATCAAATTACCTTGAGATCGCAAATGTAGGTACTTAAACTTATTTTATTATATTCGCAAAATTTTACGTAGGTTGCTTCAATATATTTAATATTATTGGTCAATTCGTATTATAAGGATTTATGCATAGATATCGAAAATTATTTTCAGCGTTTTGATTAAAAATTTGTTAAACGTCAATATACATTCTCTATTCAAATTACTGTTGCTTATTGTTGTAATACATTTTGTAGTTTAAATATAAATATGTAAATAAACTAGTTAAGTAGCTCGAAGTATAATATACGAATATCTAATATTTTGTGTTTTCTTTCCTTCGGATACATTTTAACATAAATTAATGAAATCATATCTCAAATCGTCTTATTATATGTATTTGTAGTATGTAGTATATTGTTTGAACAATTTTTTCAACGACAATGCTGCATGGCAGTTATATGAATTGCTCCTTAGGTTACTACATTCACAAAAATGTATAGACGGGAAAATAATAATAACATTTTATATAAGACACGTTGAATAAAGCCGTATTAATTTTCTTGGGTGTTCTTGGGCGTGTAAGAATCACGACAGACAGACAAACATAATCTTTTTTTGAGGAATTTAATTTTTTTTTTAATTTTAAAGACAAAGTATATTTTAATTTATTTTATATTGTCATTATTATTGCTTTAATTAATAATAAAGTATCATTTGACAGACCTTTAAACAATGAAAAGAAAACGCTATATATGAGAGAACAGACAAGTATCCCCATGCTTCACTTGATAGAATGTGAAATACCTTAGCCATATAACATCTCACGAGATGTGCTGTCGATTTATTTAGGCTTTGGATATTTGAATCCATATTTTCTTATATCATTCATTTAATCAAGAAGAACTTAATCAAGTAGTAATAAATATAAACATTGTTAAATACGATGAGTTAGTAATTTTTTTTACTCCTTAGTAGTATTTATGAAATGTTTCTTTATTTGAAAACATTAAGATTTTTCAAGGTAAGTAATGCACATAACACTTATTTCTTAGTCCTAATAAAGACAAAGATTTATTCGGTAGAGCAACACGACGTTTGACATTGCCGGTTCAAGTCCTGCCCGAGTCGAAAAATTTCATTTTATTTTCGATAAAATTTTTTGTATTTAAGATTTTCAAGTTTAGTAACACAAACACTTTCTTTCTTAGTACTAATAAAGACATAATTTTATTAACGATTTTGACATTGGTAGTAAGCTATCCTTAGGATATTAAATACTGCTTCAATAAAAAACAATTTGACTTAATAGAAATAACTCGCCTAAAGAATGGGATATAAAACAAGATATTTATTAGGTATTGTCCGTCGCTTACGCGAGTTGTACACAATTTTTAAATAAAACACTATTAACGGATTAGAACACGAAATTTATTTTTTAACTTATTTACAATTTATTTTGAGTACGACCTGAAATTGAATTAATTTTCGCGTTTTATGCCGTTCAAACTGTTTTGTTTAAAATCTTTGTTTTAAATTTGGACAAAAACCTTACCATTAATCAACATTTTCATTTTGCTTTGTTTATAACTTTAGTATTACGTAGTTAAAATCTTCTTTACATTTTTGTTTTCAAGTATTAAGTATTATCTTTTCAAGTTGCCTGGAAGAGATGGCTTATAAATCCAGCCGTTTATAACAATCGTTTGTATCTTTATATGTGTTATATAAAGTAAAAGTGAAACCCCATTTCCCCTGTGGGGCATGGGGCGTACATATTTCTGTACCCGTTTCACTGATTGGTTTTATTTACAGGCAGTTTATGCCCTGCCTGACTAAAACAATCTATTGTTACCCGGGGATTCGAACCCAGGACATATACCTACAAAGGCGGTCGTTATGTTGTCTGCAATTACGGAGATTAGGGTAGAAAGAATAAAATGCACTAGGGTCGGTCAAGAAAAGCCAATCGGGGTCTCAACTTCTAAGAACCAAGACAATCACTCGTCGGTCCGCAATTGTAGCACGATGACTCATCGCTGTCCCCTTTGCATGTCTTTAACATCCCCTTGATAAGGGAACAAATTTAAATGGGAAATGTGGAAATGGCTCACGCTATTGTCCAATACCCCAGGGGGAGATATCGGGGGCTCTTTATCAGCAAATAGTACGCTTTACATGTGAAGTAACTTCCCCGGGCGCCATAAATATTCTTGTTGTTTGAATCATGGAAATCAATGTTTGATTTGTTGGTTAGGGATAGATAGCTATCGATCCGTCAAATCGGAACCGACACTTTATATTAGGATCGGTGCGTCTGTGAATCTTATCTTCAGAATCTAATAGAAGCAATGCAATCTGGGTAAAGTTTTTTTATGATTCGTTTGCAATATAATTAAAATACAAGCGAATATAGAAACGCAGTGGACGTTAAGTGTCGGTATATAGCGTAAGTAGAGATTAATTTTACTGGTATTTAAGTAAAGTCGACCGCTTCTGTAACTAAATGGTTCTCGCGTTACCTAGCAATACTTTAGCAAGAGAAGATATGGGTCTCTATCTTGGGGAAACGATAAATTGTGTCGCTCAGGCTACCTACTTGGTTAACTACTTGGGCTTATTTAAAGGAGACACTTTAACGGTTTAAAACGCGATATATTAGTTGAACTTATTTGAAAATTATTTTTAACTTCGGCCCGACGTTTTTCAAATAAGTTTAACTAATATATCGCGTTTAGAACCGTTAGTGTTTTATTTAAATGTGTACTACTCGCGTAAACTATAGACAGTATTTACTTGGGCTTACTTAATACTGGGATATCTGTTCAGTGAAATAGACAAAGATATGTGGTCGCCCTATACTCCAAAGAGGGGAGCGTTGGTTAATGTATGGCTAATAATCAACGGGTCGAGAGTTCGATCTCTATGGGTTTAAACAATTCTCTCATCAATTTTTTATTTTTCTAAAACATGTTAGACTTTGCCTA